CTATACTACACTGCACCACACTATACTACACTGCACCACACTACACCACACTGCACCACACTGCACTGCATTGCACTACACTACACTACACTACACTACACTACACTACACTACACTACACTACACTACACTACACTACACTACACTACAATGCACCACACTACACTACAATGCACCACACTACACCACACTGCACTACACTGCACCACACTGCACCACACTGCACCACACTGCACCACACTGCACTACACTACACTACACTACACTACACTACACTACACTACACTACACTACACTACACTACACTACACTGCAGTGCACTACACTGCACTGCACTACACTGCACCACACTACACCACACTACACTGCACTGCACTGCACTGCACTACACTGCACCACACTACACTGCACCACACTACACTACACTACACTACACTACACTGCACCACACTACACTACACTACACTACTCTACACTACACTGCACCGCACTGCACCACACTACACTACACTGCACAACACTGCACCACACTGCACTACATTGCACCACACTGCACTACACTGTACCGCACTGCATTACACTGCACCGCACTGCACTGCACCGCACTACACTGCACCACACTGCACCACACTGCACTACACTGCACCACACTGCATTACACTGCACCGCACTGCACTGCACTGCACCACACGGCATTACACTGCACCACACTACACTACACTACACTACTCTACACTACAATGCACCACACTGCACCACACTACACTGCACTACACTGCACCACACTGCATTACACTGCACTACACTGCACCACACTGCACCACACTGCACTGCACCACACTGCACTGCACCACACTGCACTACACTGCACTACACTGAACTACACTGCGCCACACTGCGCCACACTGCACTGCACCACACTGCACTGCACCACACTGTACTACACTGCGCCACACTGCGCCACACTGCACCACACTGCACCACACTGCACCACACTGCACTGCACCACACTGCACTACACCACACTGCACCACACTGCATTACACTGCACCACACTGCACCACACTGCACTGCACTGCACTGCACCACACTGCACCACACTGCACTGCACTGCACCACACTGCACCGCACTGCATTACACTGCACCACACTGCACTACACTGCACTACACTGCACCACACTGCACTGCACTACACTGCACTACACTGCACCACACTGCATTACACTGCACCACACCACACTGCACCGCACTGCACCGCACTGCACCACACTGCACTACACTGCACCACACTGCACTACATTGCACTACACTGCACCACACTGCACTACACTGCACCACACTGCATTACACTGCACTACACTGCACCGCACCGCACCACACTGCACTGCACCACACTGCACTGCACCACACTGCACCGCACCACACTGCACTACACTGCACTACACTGTACTACACTGCGCCACACTGCGCCACACTGCACTGCACCACACTGCACTGCACCACACTGCACTACACTGTACTACACTGCGCCACACTGCGCCACAGTGCACCACACTGCACTGCACCACACTGCACTGCACCACACTGCACTACACCACACTGCACCACACTGCATTACACTGCACCACACTGCATTACACTGCACCACACTGCACCACACTGCACCACACTGCACTGCACTGCACCGCACTGCATTACACTGCACCACACTGCACTACACTGCACTACACCACACTGCACTGCACTACACTGCACCACACTGCACTGCACTGCACTACACTGCACCACACTGCATTACACTGCACCACACCACACTGCACCGCACTGCACCACACTGCACTACACTGCACCACACTGCACTACATTGCACCACACTGCAACTACACTGCACCACACTGCATTACACTGCACTACACTGCACCACACTGCATTAAACTGCATTACACTGCACCACACTGCAACGCACCGCACTGCACCGCATTACACCGCACC